ATAATGGCTAGTTCCTGCAGAAGACTATTGGGCCTGCAGCCTTTTCTGGAATTGTCTGACAGTTCTACAACAATGTACTCATACTTGACATTCAATAATGTTCACCATCCATGAGAAAAAGGATTTTATTGAAATTTTAGTTTAAAAATGAGCTATCATCACAGCATTACATCACACAGTAGGTTTTATTGAAGTATTTCTTTGTAGATGCAGTTATCAATGAAAGTGCCTTGCTTTTCTGTTGCAACACTCGTTAGATTTTCACTAAAGAAAAACAAATAATTTTTTAAAGTTTGTTTTTGATTGTTTTATATTTGAAACTTACTCTATTCTTTGTAAATTTTATTGGTTAAATCTGAAACATATCATTTTTGTGGAAATTTCAATTGTTTTATTTATTTCTCAGCTGTAAAAATACTGCCTAGTTATAAAAATATTACCCAGTTATGATTGGTGATGATAAGTGCAGTAGTTTCCGAGATCCGAGTTTTGGACGTATACATCGCAAGCTCCATTTTAATAAGAGGCATATTACAGAATTACTTGCATAAGATGTCATAGAAATTATCTGTTTGTACTTTCTGGTGTGTCTGTTTACTTATTGGTAGATTGTGTACAATTAAAGAAATTCTGTTATATTTTTCTACAGAAAATTTATTGTTTTTTAAGCTATAAAATTCAGAAATATCAGTCAATTCTGTTACTAAACATGATCACAAAATTAGAAATGAAACTTGAATTTAATCATAATATAGAAAATATTCATTCAGTTGTATTCAGTCTTTTTCAGCTTCTGCTTGGATGATCTGTATTTTAGGCATCCCAACAAAGTCAGACTTTCAGCAAAACGTGTATTAGTGGGAAGACAGCACAATACTGTTTCAAAGTAAAACGTGTGCTAGCTCAAGTTATACATTATTATTACACACTAAAAACTGCAATTTCAAGACATATCAGCTCTCCTCTGCTTTCTTAGGTCCAAAATATGTGGTAGCACAGGCGCCAGTTCCATGGGTGGCCAAGTACCCCGAACATTTATTGATGCAAGTGTTGCCCTTAAAGCCCTGAAACTGTGCAAAAAATATGTTTATCACCTTCATCTATTTGGAAAAGTTGTCACCATTGTGTGATAGTTGATAGAGGAATTGAGAAATCTTAAAATAAGTAAATTACTGAATGTAGGCAATAATGACACAAACACAACCTGTAATTTTTTTAATTTTTTCAAAAAATATTTTGAGATTTTCTAGCATATGGTTGACTCAAATACTTAGTTTCAATTACGTTTTAAGTACCAACCTAATAAACATCCTTACATTTGCACTTGTTGCTTAGGGAAGTATACCAAAAGAATGCTGTTCAGTAAGGAGGTGAATGTATTAACAGAGAAAGAAAAAAGAGTCTAAATATGTTAATCCCAATCTGGATCACAGTCGACATTTGAGGTGTCGAGTGCATACCTTTATATCATATTTCAAAATTTAAGTAAAAATTGACACTTCCAAATGTATTTCACAAAGAAATTTTTTTCTGTTTGATCTGGAATTTCTTTTGACTTCAGTTTCATAGATTTTTATATATATATAATTTTTCTGTCCTTCTCAATCTATAGGTTTATGATTGCTATGAAAGTATCATCCCTTGAGAATATAATTGTCAATGTCTTGTTTCTCATGAGATTTTTGATCTGTGATAATAGTTTTGTTATTACAGCCATTCATTGCCACCCTTTTATAATATTGCAACATGTGGCCTGAAACTTACTAAATAAGTTTTGAAAATAGCTACAGGCAACATTTAAATACAGCAGAGTATAGATTATACATATTTATATGTTTCAATAAGTATGATTTTCAATGTAGGTGTAGGTATTGAGGTCTGGCTTTGTTTCTTTGATTTTTCTTGGGTGTATGTTTCAAAAATGGTAAAGAATCTTTTGCACATTTCTAAGGTCATCATATTAGATAATAAAAAATATTTAATTTTCTGTGGAAATGGAATTTAGCAATAGAATTTTCTTGGTTGATGAATCTGTGTGAAAAGTAAACAGTAGTTTTCACTATCAGTGTCTACCAACACTAGGTATACCAGCATATTTCTGGACATCTCGTCAAAATACTCGACATTTAAAACTTTGCCGTAAATGCTATCTGATAAATTAAATATTTTATTTGTCCCCAGTAAATGCTTTAAAATTACTAATTAAAGTGGAAGGATCCACATCCGCGATGAAGCACTGATGTAAACTTGTACTTGAACTTCACGGTACGGCTGAAGTTCACCTGTTGTGGCTGTTCCGATGAGGTTTCCTAGTGACATTTATTTATGCAACAGAAAGAATCATCTCACATATTTTAATATTAATACCATTTCGACCTCTACAATAAACCAACTATAAAGTTAAACAATCATTCTGTAAGGTTTGAAATGATTTTTAAAGTGTCAGTTGTTTGTATTGATACTGATGTGTAATATAAATAAATAATTGACATACACGTAGAGAGAGTTATGCATACTTAGAACATTACATAAATTGTTAGTATTTATCATGAAAACCAGTGGACTTGTTAGATATGTTGAAATGATTTAATACACAAGTCACATATGCCTATAATTATTTCCAATACTATGAATTTTCATCTGTGTTTGTGTTGATGGAGCATATGTTAAAATGTTAGTGTTAACATGTTGTTTTTCCAATAGTTAAACATACTGTAATAACACTTGTAAACTAATAAGAGTCATAAAAAGTCCTTTTATATACTGTAGATAAAATGTTACTGTATATTTGGCATGCTACTGCTAATCCATTGGTTTTGACCATTTAAACTAATTTCACTAAGCCTAGCTGCTAGAGTAACGTGATGATTCTGATATTAAAATAAGTTGTTTAAATGTATATAAATTTCATGTGTTGTTTGTATAATATTCATACATAGATTATATGAGGCTTACATAACCATAGGTTTCTTGCTGTTATGAGAATTGTTTTTATTTATTTCTTTACAGCTACAACAACCAAGTTAAACACATGAGAGTGTGTATGACTGAAGATGGGCAGCATTTCTACCTTTCTGAATCTAAATATTTTAAGACTATTGTGGTATGTAACTCTCTAACTTTGTAAATAAGTGGTGGTAACATCTTATAAGATATAAGCTGTATCTTCAGTCTGTAAAGAATGAGCACAGTGAACCAAATATTGACATTAGTACTTGATAATAAAAATGATAAAATCACATTAATATTATCATTTGTATTAGCTATAGTAACCAATAATTTTACCATTGAAGCCCCTTACATCTTTATTTTTATCTGGTCTTAAAGTGATTTATATTAACTAATTTTCATACATACTGCAAATTAAAATGTATATTCTGCCAGATATGTGTCTTTCCTCTTACGTTACAATTAAAAAAAAAATATTTTTTTTGTCTTTCAAAATTTGTGGTGCATACTGGAGGGATGTAATATACACAGCCACACTTCCTATACAAACACAGAAAACCCAAACCCATTTAAAGTTGCTATCTTACAAAAAAAAACAAAGCTTTCAAAGAGAGAAAATATATGGAAGCTATCCTCATTAACGAAAAAAATCCAAAAATCTACAGCCAATGGGTTGGACATGTAACTAAACTACCATTCAAAAAATGACATATTATACCAATACACTTGACTTTGTTACTTTCAGTTTAACACTTGTGTAGTCTGGAGTATAGCACATTCTTACGATTTGTTTTTAACACTGCTAGAAAACTTTTTATCCTTCCCACTTATTATTGTTTCTTAGCAGCTTCTATTTTCCATGTGTTTTTTTAGCTAGTCATAAAACATATTGTGGTTCTCTTTATTTTTATATCTCATATAAAAGTAATATATTTCCTATGTTAGTATAGTTGTATAGTTAGTATTATAACTATACTATAATATTAGAACAATAACAAAACAATAATAATAATTTATACATTGGTAGATGCATGTTACGGCAGACTCGAGAACTAGAATATTACAAGCAGTTTTATAATTTAACAAATGTTATAATATCAAACAGTTGTGTATATTAACCCTGATGAAGCCACAAAGTCGAAACGTTGGTTAAAATAAGAAAAACATTTTACATATATCTAGAATATAAAACTCGTTTTTCTAAACTCTTTATTAAAGTTTTAAAATATGTTATTTTAGGCACAGTGAACATAATAACACAGTAGTAGCTAACTCTAAGCACTGCAAGGGGATTTTTTAAGTCGGTCAAATATTTTAATGTAGGATTTAAGAATAACTTACAAAAACATTTTTGCATTGGAAGGTTTCGATGCTTTTTCTTTTCTACATACTTGAATATTTGTAATTACAAATCTGACATCACTTTAGTTTCATTTTCAATGGTTTTCTTGTTTTAAATAAATGTGTAAGTAAGTGATAATATTTTTGTGTTTTAGGAACTGATCAAGTGGTATGAGGAAAACACCCTAGCTGAAAGTTTTTCAGGGCTCAACATAAAGCTATTAGTTCCTTACAAAAAAGCTCTTAATCTGACTAATGGTGCAGGTATGAATTATTTTTAAACATGCAGAATAAGATGAAAGATTACATAACTTTAGTGTTGATTATGTATTGTGAAAGTGTTTCTTAAAGTCTGTATTTTAACCTCTTAGATACATATCAGCTCTGAATTAAGTTTTAATTTTTTAAAGTAAAGGAAAAAGTTAAAGGGCAGTACAAATACTCATTGTTTACTTTTTGCAAGTTTTGTTTTAATCAAAATAACTAGGTCTTATGGACTGATAGCCCATGTTATCATCACAGTGAATGTTGCTCGTTTTTGTTTTCTACAAATGTAACTGTAAAGTGATGCATTACTAGTCATTATGTAAAGTTTGAAACACTTTTTGTCTGTTAGTGTTGTTCAGGTTAAACTGTTAAATTCTTTTCTCTTTGGTATTGTCCTTGGATATTACCTATACCTTATATTAAAAACTATTTAATTTTTTTGAAAAAAAAAGAAGGATTCTACATTTAAAAAAATACTTAACAGAGTTGCAGAAATTTTATGGTAAAATATATCTAACTTAAGCATTTCTCCAACCTTTTCCTCTTAGTCATTTCCACTTAATTGGCAAGAAGGTTTAGGAAAGTATCTGATCATTCTTTAATCCGGAGGGGAAAAAAATGTATATAAAGATGATTTGTAAGATGTTTGACCGATGTTTATTTTATTGGTGTTTCATCTGTAGTTACCATTTGATGTCTTATTTACCTTTTACTAGAGTAAATGTATTGAAAGAAACTCGTTAAAATTATTTTACTTTAAATGATTTTAAAGCATTTCACTGTGAAACAATTTTATTGAAACAGTTTTTTTCATTTCCTCATGGTCAGTCAATTTCATTTATGAGCAGATAGTGTGTAGGAACATTATCTAATGATTTGTTAATCCAGATAAAGAAGAAAATAACTTGTAATAAATTTATTTGGAATAATTTTAGCCAATGTATGTTTTATTGGTATTTCATCTGTGGTTACTGGAGCACTTATATTGATAATAAATCATAGATATGATTTTATTTGAAAAACTCTAGATATCAAATTTTTAGTTCTAAATGGTTTTACAAAAACTATGGCTACTGATTCTATTGCAGTAAAGGGTTTGGAAATCATGTAGTTATATTTACATCTGGGTATAAAAGTGACATCAAGCAGTAGAATGTTCAACCTATCAAAAATACTTTTATTTTTTTGTTTATGAATTGTTCAATACTTACATAAAAAAGAAGGAAATAGCATTACTTCAAATATACGTCAGTACCACTCTTTTATTGTAGGATGCATAACTGCTTTACTATGGACAGTTTAACCATAATGAAGTCTTTACTAGATAAAAGTTATAAATAAAAGATTATTATCATCATGAAGTGTAATGTAAGATTTTTCCAAATTAGTATCTTTAAAATACTATGGAAATTCCAGGCTGTATGTTTAATTTTGATACTTCTTTTTTTTGGCAAATTCACGTTAATCCTAGTTTGTTAAATGACGCTCTTAAGGTACTTAAAGTATCTTAATGCCAGTTTATTTAGAATATAAAATAATAGTGCCATCAAAACTGCCGATGAGAGTAACATGTTGTTTTTTTCTTTCTAATTCTGTTAAGCATTGTGTTACATTATTATCACTACAAAAAAAATGGAGGCAAATGGATTTGTCGATTTGTGTAATATATCTTAGCTCCATTACTTATTGTTATCAAATAGAGTGCTAACAGTTAAACTTGATCAGTTGTGTATTGCAGTAGACATATTCTATTACATTTAATGGTGGTTAAATTTTGTTTTATTTTCACTTACTTTAAATTTTTCTTAAAGTAATTTCTCGCTAGTCTCACGTATATGACATATTTCTGACAATTTTGTTACATTGAAGTTCTGTGACTTGTGTTTCTGAAAGGCTAATCATTCCGCATGCACCAACAAAAAAGTTTATTTAAGAAAAACTAATTTATCTGTCCTTACTGCCATTAAAGAGCAATGTTGCATGTTTAAAGCTTTACTTAAAAACTGTTTATTTAGTCTTTGATTAACCTACTGTATATAGTTATATATATGTATGTTAGTAGAATAAAACTTTTAGTAAATTAATTGTTTTTACAAAGCTGAAAATTCTTTACGTATATAAAATGATATTTATGCTGTTACAGAAAATATATGAAAATGTTACACTGATAAGAATGTTAGAAAGTTTGAAAAATTAGTGAGCACCAAACAAATTGTTATTAAAAAACAAAAACATTTACCCAGGTTAGGAAAGTTTTCTGTAACAAGTGTTGTTGTAAGAAACACTTTCTAACATGTGTCTAGCTGTGAAAAAAATTGTAATAATAATAATATTTTACTGTAAGAAAATATGATATCTGTGCCTGGCTGTGGAAAATTTGTTGTTGTAAGAAAATTTTGTAAAAAAGCATTTTACAAAAAAAAAGATATAAAAATGAGTATTTTACTGTTGTAAGAAATGTTTTGGATATTGTACCTGATTATAAAAAGTATTTAATAAATATTCTTTTGGCTAAACTTTGTGTAATTATCCTAGTTATGAAGATCTTTCTGTGAATAAATGTTAGGTTGTTGTAAGGAATATTTTAGAGATGGTATCTGGCTATAAAAAAGTGACAATAAATTGAAATTTAAATGTTATTAAATACTAACAAAGTAAATTATAGGCAGGTGAATGCCTTTTCTTTCATAATCTATTTTGTAGCACCATCTTTTAGCTATTAACTGTCATTGGTCATAAAAATATTCATTGTATATTAGAGTCAGTTGTCAAAATATTTGGGCACCCTTAAATAAGAAAATTACATTTCATAGCAAATAACATTTGAGCTTCTGTTAAAGTTGATATCATAGATCCCAGTTGTTACTGTTGTATACCCTTTATTCACTAAAGACCAATTATATTTGTATTGATGACCAGTATTTCATTTATTGAATATTCACCTAAATTTGCTTTGTTTCTTTGAATTTCAAATTTGAGGATGTGTTCAATTGTGACACCAGTGGGGAAGAAAAATAAATTTAAATCATTATAATTAGATACGCAGTAAAACTATTTTTATTGAGCACTAATGTTATCAAGTATGTCATACCAAGGCACATAGCATCTTTATAATTGCTGTGCAGCTTATCTGTCTGTAAATACTTGTCTGATGCTCTTTGAAAGATAATGCTTCTCTTACATATAGGTGAGAAATGGCAAATTTATTGTATTCTTGTTTTATGAATTATTCATGAAGTTGAAAGTATTACAAATCTAATATAAATCCTTTGCATTTTCTTGTAAATTTCAAATAACAAGTTATATTTAAAATAGAATTTCTATCTCCAAACAGTTCTGTCATTGAAGATGTAAAAACTTCTGTAGTTATTAATTCTGGATAACTTTCAAAGATTAACTTACTTCTATAAATTATTTGCTTGATCTGAGTAATATTTTTTTCTTGTACTTGTCTAGACTTTGCCTTAATTTTAGTAGTCACTGTTTTATTACAAATAAAGAAAATTATGTACGTTATCTAACTATTCTGTGAAGACATTATGAGCTTTTAATCAGGATCTTAAAACATTGAATAGCTTTATAGTCGATTTAGTATTTCTTTATTTGATGTAATCAAAAATATGTTTGTAATATTATTCTTAGATAAAGCTTTTTTTCAAACTCATGATTTGCTTATTTTCTGGTTATTTGCAAGTGCATATACACACACACATAAACATATACAGAAAAGCTGTCTTACTTATAAGTTGATCAACCTACATAATCATATTATTTGGGGCTGTTGGTCAGTCTACACGGTTTTTTGGGCAGGTCTGTCTTAAATATATCTTGTGATACAATTATTTTTAAAAAATACAGTTCTAAGAATGGAATAAAATTTTGCACAACTACCTGTTTATACTTAAAACTTTGAAACAAAGTTTAGCCATAGCAAAGCAACATAGAGGTTACTCATATGTAAGGCACTTAAATGTTTAGTGCCTTATTAATTGTCTGTAGTGATTGAAAAAATAGTTCAATTAAAAACCATTCAAGAACACTGAGCATAAAAGCATATTTTATTTTTATTTTTTTACATAAAATGGGCACACAGAAACTACAGTGCTACATTTGGTGCTGTGTGTAAAATTATCTAGCATTTTAAATTAATCAAGTTAAGAAAAAATTATATAGAACGGCTATTTGTTTATTGGATACTTCCTTAAAACATTAAAATATTGGATCAGACATTATATTTCCTTGAAAAAATAGAAATGGGGGTTTGTTGTTTTTTTTGTAATTAAGCACAATGGGCTATCCGTGCTCTGCCCACCATGGGTATCAAAACTTGGTTTCTAGCATTTTAAGTCTGCACACACACTTCTGTGCCACTGGGGGTCACAGCAAGAGAAAACTAAAATTCTCTGAACATACATGATTATTCATTATAATAGCATATTATTGTTTAAAATTATAATAACATTCATGGTATCATAGAAAAGTGAGTTGTAATTATGGCTTCTGTTTTTCTCTGTTTAATTTGAGCCATTTTTGAGTTATAGATAGATAGACTGAAACGTTTTGGACTTTTTTTTTTTTTTTAAGGATTTCCCTAAAATTCCTATCTATACAGAGTATTCCATCAGTTATACCCATATGAATTTCCTCCATGTTCACTTAACCTTTGATACCAGTTGTTAAGTATGGGTAAAATATTTAGAACAAATTGAAGCTAGATGCAAGTTGGGAAAGGAGGAACATTAAGCAATTAGTTGTATTCAGAAATGGGTGAAATTATTATGGGAATAATTTTTCAGAATTTTACTGGTGTTTATTAAGTATATATCAGTTCAATTTTTTATCACTTAAAATTAAATATCAAAAGCCATAGTTAAGTAGTGACGGTCACTTGTTAAATAAAATTTATTAACTATTAACAGGCTTTTTGTGGTGAAAAATAGTTTATTTTAGTGCTGTAAAACATTATTAGTAATTCAAATTCGATGACGAGGAACCCACTTTGAGACTAATAATGGCTGGAGACGGCTTGAATGGGTAATGAAGAAAAACTTTAATATACTTTGGTACCTGATGATGACAAAACCTTGTCGAAACGTTGTACATTTGCTGTTATGTTAAACTTATATTAAAGTTTTTCTTCATTACCCATTCAAGCCGTCTCCAGCCATTATTATTAGTAATATTTTTAGTTTGTAAAAAGCTGGTGATAATACTTTGACTATAATATGTTTACTATTACATGTATGTCAGCTCGACCAGGAGAAGGTGAACTGTATACTAAATAAAGTAAACATAGGGTAACCATTATCAGCAAAAAAGGAGTACTATTGTCATGAACTGGAATTTAAGATTTTTTTTTCAATGACATAATTGCTTCTTTCAAGATTGTAAAGCCTAAGTGGTATTGTTAAACAACTAGGGTAGTTCTGAGCTACGTATGTTTCAACTTAGAACTTTAATGCATGCCAAAAGTTACGAATATTCATTTTCTATTGGTCACAATTATTGTTTCCATTTTTGTTTTTTGTCTTTTTTTTTCACAATACTTATTAAGGGTTTTTTTTTGCGGTGATATAGAATCAGAATATATGCGGGAAAATGAAAATGTTTGCATTTTTCCATAAAATTCTTGAATCAGAAACATATTATTGCAGTATGGATTGCATCTCTAAAAAAAACAACCATGAATGATTAGAAAGGCAACAAAAATGTCGTTAGTTAAAGATTGCCAGTAAACTGCCCACATTTTTGTATTTTTTTTATCAAAAATGAAATGTTTCATGTTATCATGCTTGCAGTGATATAGCACATTGGTGAAAAAACAACAACAGACATTTGTGGTTAGTGCTGACTACAGACAGTCCTTGATTTCAAAACTTTAAAGTGAAAAATTGAATACACATAAAAATCACTAATGTAATTGTAGTCTTTGTTTTGTTCCTGTTACATTTGCCTATATCCCTCCCTTTCCTATACCTAACTGATGCTAGTCTTTGCATAGCTAAGATGTCTTGTCTGTATGTTACCAAGTATGACAGACTGCGATAGTTGAGTACATTTTGCAGCAATAAAAAAATAAGACATCTCTCCAAAAGGAAGTGTAATAATTGTGATAAAATTATAACTTTAGGCTATTTCACCAGTTTCAGTTAAAATCAGAATCAACCGTTATCAAGGAAGCTTTTGGGTAGTTAAATGATGCCTTGTTTTTAAAAAAACCATTCTCTTTGTTGAGTACAGGGACATAGAATATCTAATAAAGACCTAGTGAAGCTAACCAAAGTTGATTAATGAGAATAAATTTACTCTTTATAGCTTTTCCTCTACTGTTTTATGGCAAAGAGATTTTTAAAACTGCTTAATTGGTTTTATTTCCATTTCTTTATTCACAAAATGTTATGAATTACCAGATTATGGATTAGCTATTGAAAGAAAAGTTTATTGGGTGAGAACAAAAATTATTCATAGTCAGAATTTTATTTATAACTCACTAAATCTATGCAAAGCATTTATGGGTAAAGCTTTTAAGATGATTATTAATTTTGATACCTGCATTGTAGTCTGTATTTTAAAACTTAATGTTTTATTGTAATTTTCATTCATTGGAATAGCACTTGGTTGATGTCATTATGTAAATAGGTCACTATATCAGGAACAAAATAGTGTTAAATACTGTTTTAAAATAGACGTACTAAATCTGAAGAATAAATATATCTAAAAAGCATTTTATAAGAAAAGCATTTATGAACACTTTCTGGTTGTCCAAGGTATTTTTGAAGGAAGCATGCTTATAACTTTTCATTATAGAGAACAAAGTAATGTACTTTAAACCTAATATAAAGAATATATCATTTACCAAAACTTAGAGAATTCTTTATATTTTCATGAAAGTTTCAGTAGATCCCTATAATTGTTATTTTATGTCTAATCAACTTAAAAATCTTTTAGTAATGGTAAAACTGTGTGTCATGTTTGTGTTTTATAGTTTTTGTGTGTAGTAGTCATGCAATGAAAGTCTATTTTTTTTTCCATTAGTGGAGTCTGTGGGACTTGCTGTTGCCATACATGAATTCACAGGTGCTTCCCCTAATGTTCTTTCACTACAAAAAGGAGATAGTGTGATTATTATTAGCAAAGCTGGAGGTGATAAAGGTTGGTGGAAAGGAAAAATAGGAGACAGGGTAAGATTTAAAATCTGTATCAAAGGTAAAAGATAATATATTCACCAATTTTTATACCCTTAGTAGTATTGACAAATGAGAACAGCTCTAACTTAAGATCAATTGTTTGTAACTGGTTAAGGAAACTTTGTACATGAATATACAAAACATATTGTTAGTTATAACATCAAGATCTACTGATTTTCTGAAGCTTGAAAGAAAATTGATTGTTTAAATGTTTTGGTGGTGATATATTTTCATTAAAATTCATTAACTGTAAAATTCCCAAGGGTATCATTACCTTTTCAGAAGGATCATAATCTATATTTTATGATGTTATATGATAGACATCTCCAAATAGCAGCTGTTCGAAGTTATGGCATTGCTAAGGTAACAAAGGATTTTTATAGAAATTCTTGGACATCAGAAACTACTTTGCCAAAGCAACTAAAAGATACAGAAACAAACAAAGCATACACACCAGTGTTTTTGATATGGGCAGTAGATTGGTGATATGACCTTGGTTATCCAAGGTCTAGATCATTTGCTCAGATCAAGGTCGAATCTAAAAAAATTGTAGTTTTAAATTATATTATGGTAACTTTTGTTTCAGTTTCTTAAAAATATGTATAAAGCACCCGAAAAAGTTATTTTTTACATTTTTAGTCATATTTTCTAAGTAATTAAAGTATGTCAACTAAGCTAATGCTGACAAAACTGAACAAAAGCTGTTTTTTACAGACTCTTAATCTCTTCGACCACTTGACCTCTTTATACTCATTCAAAGTCTTTGTATATTTGATACTACTAACTTTTAATATAGTGTGTATATTTCACAAAATTGGGCAGTCATTCAGTAAACATCACAAGTCTTTCACATACAAGATATCATATTTTTAGTGAAGTATTTTTAATAAGCTAAAAAAGATTTGTCCTTGAATATATCAAGTATTTGTTTTAAATAGTCTGTATGCAAAGTGATTTTCATGTTAAGAATAAAAGTACTTTTCTTCACCTCAAAAACTTTGATTTGATTTCTGTATTCTCTAAAACTTCCTAAATACATTTGAAATGTTTGTTTTCACTAAAACTTTATATTTTGTCTGTTATTTTCTCTACCCTAGCTCTATACATGATTGGTCAATTTGACCGACCTTGTAACCACGAAAAAAAAAATCAAATTAATCTAAATTACCCGTTTTCTTCGTTTATCCTAAGTAGCTTTAAACTCTTAAGAGAATACATCTATTTATAATTAAATTTTATTGTTTTATTTCCCTTAGAACCGTGTCTAACTACTATTTGCACCATTATAAGTTGGGGATAATGCAGCTTTTGTTACACTATTGAAATACCTTACTCAAGAGCTGTTCATGTGCGTGCCTTGTGAAATATTTTTATATTATTATTATTAATTTTACTTAATCTAACCTTAACTAACCTAAAGAGATCCCTATTTTTCCATTTAAGTTACTTTTATTATAATAAATAATAAACATGAAAAACAAGAAATAAAGTACTCACCTGAGTATTCTTTTTTTTTTTTTTGCTGTTGACTATTGATGACACTTAACCCTACTTTTTATACTAGTGGTAGTAGTGCATTAAATAATTTTTATTGACTTAAATAATGCACCAAACAACATAGAATAATAACATGCAAAAAGCAGACAATTTCCTCTAACAATCACAGTTTTTCTGGTTTTCTAACTATGTGACAAGAGCTGCTACAAATTCAACCAAGCTAGTCATTACCTTTCCCGTGGGAACAAATCTTGTACTACAAGTGAAATTGATGATTATCTGTTCCAAACACAATATAAGGTAATATGTCATTTGATAGATGAAAACCATGGCTTTCTATTTGTTATAGTAATATATAATTAAAGAAAAGAGATAACTATTAACAAATCTTGAAAGAGAGGCTGTGACATGAACCATTATGCATCTTTTGCCAGAAACAGAACTAGTACAAACAATCTAATTGCACTTGAGATTCTTTTTTTAAGGTATGCTGAGTTAAGATCCAATGATACAGTGAGGAAAACAGCAACTGAAAAACAGGATGCTCAAATACTAGCAGTGATTTCCAGAGATCTTGTGGCTACAGAAGCTCACTATCAAAGAACATGTTCCTGGGAATATACAAGAAAGAGGAAAATTCCCACACTTTCCTCATCTGATAAAAATCACGTATCCATGCTAAATATGTTGAAACAGAGAGACAAGCATTTGGAAAGCTCTTTGATTTTATAAGACATGACATTTTTGATAAATCACAAGTTATCTAACAAATAGAGATGATAATCTTCTTGAATGGATGTGTGCTGGTGGCATTCATGATGTTAACATGTCAACAAAAACTCGCATCAGTAGGAAAAGAAGTTTGGAAAAAGTCTTCACTTCCTGACAGATGACAAAGGCTGGGTTTTGCTTTACCTTGAAATGATTAAAGAAAATTGTAGGTTGAAAGAGAAGAGAAGAATTAAAAACAAGTGTGGAAGAATCGTGGCTTCCAATGCCATCAGACCTAGTCATTTGCTTGTCTAAAATGACAGTGTCTCTTAAGATACTCTTTCATTGCTCACTAAGAGGAAAAGATGCAATTAAGAGTGACAGAGTGCATAAACTAATTGAAGCAGTACTTTGTGTGTGGAGTCAATCGTGCCAAAAAGAAGACTCCAAAATACATCCAACTATCATATCCAATTAAGTCTTTAACTGGTTGTGTAGAACTGATTAGACTCGTAAGTCATTTAAGTCATGGAATTTCTTATTAATAGGTTGAGGAGACAGACACTGCACTGTGTTTATGCAAGTTTGCAAACTAAAGCGAAAGAGGAATTGCTCTTCCTGAATAGATCAGTCCATTTATTACAACAACCTTTGCCTGGGATAATAGACAGACTTGAGAAAAATCTACCATAGAGAAAATAGGATAGCTGTACAGGCCAGAGAGTTTGGGTCGGATATCCCTCAATGAAATATCATCCCCCAAAAGTTAAACATTAAAGTCTCTCAGCTGCATCTTTGGTCATTCACACAATGTAAGTACAGGACAACAACATCCATCTCGCAAAGTGATAAAATGCTTCGGTAAATCAAAATTTCTGCAGATGTACTGGGTTCAGTATCCTTGCATGGGACACAGGTGAAATCTCACAAAGCACTGTACATATTTTCCTAATATCAGTGCCCCAGCCAGAAAGATGTCTACGTGTATATGTACTTTACTAATTCTATGTACATCAATGATTGTAAATGTCATTTTTCAAATATTCATGCTTTACATTTTTGTTCTAAAAGCCAAATACCTTTCAATTAGGCACCTGTAATTATTGTTATAATAGTTTATTTTAACAATACTCTAACCATTTTGAAAACTAACAATATATTGTCTAGACATGTAAGTGTTTTCATATTTAATGTAGAGTGTATTAGTCATAGCCAACCAATGTGTTTTTGCTGAACAAATAACTACAAAGCTGTGTGACATATTTAATTTTTTTTAATTTATAGTTTGAGAATAAACCATAAACTCGTTTCTCATGCAAGATAAAAAAAAGAACATTATACACCATAAAAAAACATAGTGATTTTTAATCAACATACAATGAAGAAAAGCTATTTTAAATGGATTAGTCTCAACCTTTGTGAATGAACTTTACCTTGTATCGTAAAAGATAACCACTAATTAATTGTATATATTTTATCATATTCCTGCAATCCATAATAACCTGATGCTTTATCTAAAAATGTAATTGCAGGACAGATATGGAAACAAAGTAGATGCTGTAAATCAGTTTTTTTTCAGTATTAAATTAACATTCGGCAAACAAAAGTGTTTTCTTTCAGTTAAAAAAGCAATGCTAGCAATTCCTAATTATCATTTCCTTTTCCTTTGAAGAAAAAGTAAACAAAAATTATGAAATAAAGTTTTTTTATCTTTACAAATGACTTTGACCTGTAACTACAAAGGGCAACTTACCATTCTATTTAAAATGTTTCAAAGTGTTAAAATCAATATTAATTAGGTGTTATATCATACGAAATAGCTTCTTCAATAAATGTTTTTGTAATTTTTTTAAATCACTAATTTGAGCATATTCTAAACAATGAAGATTTTCCTGTATGAAATTAACATTTGGCTGGCAACTATGTTTTGTTTCATTTAGACAATAAAATTAACAGTTCAAAAATATACTTTTCATAGGTTTTTTTATATAATTTTTAGAAACTGAGGTAAAATTTTACAAAATAATAAAGACAAAGAAACATTTTTTTTAGATTTGACCTTTACATATGCAACTAACCTTGACCTTGGATTTCTAAAGTTATATCAACAATTGATTTACCATGTCAAAAACATAGATGCATACTTTTGTTTGGTCCTGTATCTAGTGTGGTTAAATTTCTAAAGCTAACTTAAATATTAAAATCTTATAGCAATGATATCACTTCTAACAGCTACTATTTTGAAATGTATATCATACAGCATCATAAAATAGGGATTATAGGCTTTCCAAAAAGACATGATAAGTCTTTGTCTGTCTGAGTGATAATGACTAGCCTATCTAGTTGTTTGTTTTATTGAATTGCAAAAGAAAACTACTGGATGAAAAATATATATATAGTTTGGAACTTAAAATGAACTTTCTACAGATATGTAGCTTCTGAAAATAAAAATATCTGATTTTTATATGTGATATTTACATGAATTTGTGGCTTTGAAAATTCAAAAAAGATTTCATTGAGGTATATATTTTAAATTAATTGAAAAAGCTTAAACCTTGTTTTATATTTCAATTACTGATTTTTATGTTTTCCTACATAATTGTAGAACTTTCCTATAAAGTTTTTATTTTATAAAGCTAAATTTGTTTCTTTGTGTTGATTTGGAAAACAACACACAGTGTCATTATGTTTACAATCATTGGCATACAATAAAAATGGCTTTTTTACCATACCAAAATTATAAGCAAGCCAAATCTTTTTCTTAATTATTAATCAGAATGTTTTATGTAATGTATGTTATAAATTTTAAACCCATTTTATTTTCATTTATTAATATATTTTTTACATTTCTCTTTGATGATTTTCTTTATTCATTCAAGCAGTACTTAGGCTTTTAAGGCCTAATGCAAACAAGGTCTTGTCAGTAAAATGAAACCTGACAGGGTCAAGTGCAAAATGATTTAATTAAGCCTACTTCTTCTTGTTTTACAAAAAATATTTCTTTTCCTATTGTACTCAAAGGAAATATTAAAAAATCAAGACTGTACTTGTGGTTGAAG